ACATACCCTTGGTCTCTCAAAACAGGATAAACAACTCCCAAATATAAATTAACAGGAGCCCATGCTTGGACGCGAAAACTTGGAATATTGGTAATGTTGTAATCGTATCTTTCCATCAATTCATCAGGTAGCTCCTTAACAACATTGACATAACCTCTAAGGCTGGATATAAAGTGGTCCTCATCATATAGATCTCCAAATTCACTGAAAAAGAGATGGATTTTAAGTTACATATCTGAAAAGATGGTAACTATAGAAAGGGAAACCACAAATTTTGGAAACAAGTTTTCATGGAATCTATTAGACAAATTTCACAGTATCCTTTTATAACTAGAGACAATAATGAGGGATCGCTCAAAAAAATAAAAATGCTTGCCTGGGATCCTTCCAAATACTGTTGTACTCAAACCAAGGAATGACTAGTATTGCATTTAAGAGTCCAGCTACAGCCACTGCATTGCATATCTACCAAAAAAGAAATTCGAAACAATAAAACTTGTGTGCACATGATAGTTTTATATTGGGGTAATCAATATACAATATACCCAATAGCAATATGGATCTGGTAATTTTTGAAAGGCTTGAAAATTGAAATACAGAAAGCTAATACTCAAAATATAATACTACATACCGCAGAACGTTGTTGGTTAAGACCACCATTTGCCTCAACAATCAAGTAGCCACTTGGGCCAGGGGACCCTGAAATTCAATAGAAATATAAAAAAATCATGCAAAGAAGTCCTAAGACAACGACCAAACAAAAGGGCATATCTACAATGGTGGAGCAGGACAGACGGGATCCAGCGATTCGTCTTCTGAATGAATCATAAACTAGAAAATTAGCATTAACAAAGTAATTTTGTTTTAAAAAAGAAAAAAGAAAAAAAAGGACAATCATTTCCTGATTTGTAACATTTGAATCTTATAAATTGCCACCCCAACCTTCAGATTAGCAACCACATCCATGAACCAAAGCATCATTATTAACTCAACTAAAAATACAAAAATAGCAATGATGAACAATTGATTTTTCTACCTTTATTCATAGGGAAATGATTTACAGCAGTTGAATTCGGGCATGGTCTCTGGACTTTCACCCTCCTTTTGTATTTCCACACAGAGGACAACTGCAGCAAGAAAGCTATTATTCCAGTTCCTTGCCGAAATATAAATACGTTGTGAATCACCCAGATGACATTTTACATTAATGGGTTTGTTTACAGAATCAACGAGACAAACAAACAAATAAAGTCAGAAGCTCAAAGTCACCATATGCAGCCAAGGACAAAAATTGACGGGAAAATGGGAAAATCCTATTAAGATCGAAACATTATTTTTCCACAACCAGAAAGCTATGAATCCGAAAGAAATAAAATAGGACCACTTCGGAATTTCATTTTCCTTTGAACTCCGGCCAGATACCAACAATTCAGGCTACCAGAAACAAACTCCCAAACACTCAAATCTAAATTTCTAAATAAATTATTATTAACACATCAAAAATTCCTTTGAAGTTAAACAACATCTCGAAAAAAGAAAAAGAAGAAGAAAATTGAAAAAAAGAAAAGATAGAATCTCAGTCCCCCCATAAAAGCCAAAACAGCCAAACCCCTTAAAATATTACACTTACTAGATACTCTGAAATCAATAAGGAGTAACCCACTTGACCAAATGCAGCAAACACGAAGCATTTCTTTGGAAAATAGAAAGTTCGTTGTCAAGTTCAAGAAAAAGTACAAAAAAATATAGGAACAATGCGAGATGCAAACCTCGATTGCGGAGGAGTTATCAAAGCGGATATCATCCCACAGCCTCTCGAAATTCTGATGGCTACGGTAAACGGATCCAGGAGGCTGGGAGTAGCGCAGGAGGCCGGAGAAAGGACTGACGCACATGAAAAGGCCAGAGACGTACAGAAGGGGGAGCAGTAAAAGGTAGCGAAGATTGCGGCGGAGATTGATGCCGGTTCCGATGCTTTCGCGTTTGGAGAATGAGTGAGGCTTGGAACGGAGGCGGCGGCGGCATTGGGAGATGGTAGGGTGGCGCGGCGGTGACGGAGGAGGGGTGGGAGAGTTGCTGTCGCTGCTGCTAGCAGTGTCGTTGGCCGTGTTTGGTTTCATAGAAGTTGGTTGGGAATGGAGACGGAAAAGATAAAAAGAATTGAGGTGCGGAGAGTGAAGAGTGGGGAGTGAGGACTTGTAGTTGCAGTGTTTGGGGGATTTTTTTTTTTAAGAGAGGGACGGAGGTTTGGATTTCAGGACAGTGAAAGAGAAGCCGAAGGGGGAAGAAGCTGGGGGCTTGGTTTGATGGCGTGGCTTTTCGACTTTGAGCTGAATCTGATTCTGAATCTAATTCCCCGCGCAAATTGGGATTATTGTGTGCTTTAAGGCTTAAGCTGAGATTTTTTCCACGTACCAATATTTAATTAACTGTTGTTTAGATTTTTCGGCAAGTAACAAATAATCATTTTAGTTTTTTGTATCGAATTTAGTGCTTACTCGGATTATCTTATAAAGATTAAAAGAAAAAATAAATAAAGTTAAAAGAAACACTTTTGAGATTGAATTTGTAATATTTCTAGTGTGCTATATTATATGAGTTGATTTATATCTATTGCGAGCTTCTATTATTAATAAATAAAGTTATTTTTACTAAAAAAAAATCTTAATTGATCTAAAAAAATTAAATTTTGATCAACAAATTTAGACTATTTTTTTCAAACTAGACAACTACTTTTGTCAACGTGAGGCTATTGCTATACCTATTTGATAGTGCTATCTTTTTATTTGTTTCACTATCTTGTTTTTAATTAACTTTTGTATCACATCTTACCCTTGAGATCCAATGACATTAGTTATTGAATAGATGCATTTCCTTTCTTTTGAGCGGGTTTCAAACCCACCCCATGATAAAATATTAAAAAAAAAAAACTTTTGAATCTAAATAATATTTTGTATCTTTCTTTTTGCTTGAGTTATTCTCTCCATCTACCTTTGAATTTTTTTTCTCTTTTTTCTAACTTGTTTAATGGTTAATGCAAAAGAGCTCTCAAAGTTAAAAAATAAAATTTTTTTATATTAAACTACCACCGAGGAAAGAAAAAAAAATAAAAGTTAAAAATAGATGTAAATAGAGAGATGAGATTTATCCAAAAAAAAGAGAAACAATGTTATGAAGGACAATAGTTATTTAAGAATAAAATAATCAAACAAATAAAAAAAAAAAAAGAGTGCGACAAGAGCCCACCCCTTTGACATCACTTAACATCCATTAGCCCACAATGCCTTTTTTCGGTATGAATTAGCCCACAATCCTTAATTATTATGTGCCTTTATTGTCGTAAAAATGGCATATGACTTTTGTCATTGAATTAAAGTTATGTTTAACATAATAATAGTAACGGCGCATAGACTGGCTGCTGAGTCCTGGCAGCATTGCCTCGGGCTGCCCTAATATGTTGATGTATGGACCGTAATACCCCTACTTTTTATCTCGAGTTGACGAGGACGAAAACGACCTAAAGGTTTACTAGGTCCTCTTCAAGCGAGCGGAATGGGCAAAGGAGTACGTGAAAGGACTTCTTTGCGATCCAAAAGAGGCGTAGAAAACTTTTACGAGATTTGCGCTCTAATCCAGTTTCTTTGTGATCTAATTAACTTGTTTTTGAAGAATGTTGGTTGACTCTCTAGACTCTAGAGGAATTCTTGTTAACTCCAAAATGAATACCAATAATGTTATAATTAAAAAATTATGTAAAACAATAACCCTTAAATAAAAAAATTAATTATATAATTCATTATGTAAACTTATACTATAATAGGAAAATGTTTTTTTTGTATAACATTTTTATTTTATCTTTTTATATAATTTGATGTGTCATTAAAATGA